TGTTCCTGGTATGCAGGGATGGTTCAACATTTGCAAATCGATAAATATGATACATCACAGTGACCAATTGAAAAACAAAACCTTAAGATTATCTCAATAGATGCAGAGAAAGCATTTGATAAAATACAGCATCCTTTTATGATGAAAACCTTAAGCAAATAGAGTATAGTAAGAACATTCCGCAACACAATCAGGCAATTTATGACAAACCCACAATCAGCATCTCATTGAAAGGGGGCAAGTTGGAAGCATTCCCCCTAAGATCCTGAACCAGACAAGGATGCTCGCCCTCTCACCATTGCTACTTACTATAGTCCTGGAAGTTTTAGTCAGAGCCATCAGGGAAGAAAAAGGAATCAAACAGATACAAATTGGAAAGGAAGAAATCAAACTATCCCTGTTTACAGATGACATGATCCTATAGAGGATCCAAAAGATTTCACTGAAAGAATATTTGAACTCAAAAGATTTTGGTAAAGTGGAAGGATATAAAATAAGCACAGAAAAATCAGTAGCCTTTGTGTACATGAACAATGTCATGGCTGAGAAGGAATTTTTAAGATCAATTCCATTTACAGTAGCTCCAAAAAGAATGCTTGGCATAAATTTAACCAAGGATGTTAACGACCCCTATGATGAAAATTACAAAACACTAAAGAAAAAACTATAAAAAGACATTAAAAAATGGAAAAATCTTCCATGTTCATGGTTTGAAAATCAACCTATTCAATATGTCCATGCTACCAAAAGCAATTTACAGATTCAATGTGATCCTAATCCAAATACCAATGACAATCTCCATAAATATAGAAAAAATGATGCTAAAATTCATATGGAAACACAAGAGACTCCAAATAGCTGAAACAGTCTTATACAGCAAAAATAAACCTGGAGTCATACAATACCAGATATCAGGACACTACGTGAGGCTAGCACTTTGGCTTAGTGGGTAAAGCTGCAGTGCTGGCATCCCTTATAGGTACCAGTTCCAGTCCCGGGTGCTTCACTTCCTATCCAGCTCTCTGCTATGGCCTGGGAAAGCAGTGGAAGGTGGCCCAAGTCCTTGTGCCTCTGCACTTGCATGGGAGACCCCTGAAGAAGCTCCTGGTTGCTGGCTTCGGATTGACACAGATCCAGCCAGTGCAGCCATCTGGGGAGTGAACCAGCAGATGGAAGTCCTCTCTTTCATCTCTGCCTCTATAAATCTGCCTTTCAAATAAATAAATGAATCGTTAGAACAAAAAAAGGACTTACTATATGGCAGTTATAATCAACACAGCCTGATAGTGGCACAAAAATAGACTTGTAGACCAATGGAACAGAATAGATACTACAGAAATAATCCATGCATCTATACCCAACTTATCTTTGACAAAGCAGCTAAAATAAGTCCTTGGAGCAAGGAGCATCTCTTTTAATAAACTTTGCTGGGGAAACTAGATCTCCATGTGCAGAAGTATGAAACTAGATGCCTACCTTACACATTACACAAAAATCCACTCAAAGTGGATCAAAAACCTAAATCTATGATCCGATAACAGATTATTAGAGAACATTGGGGAAACTCTGCAAGACATAGCATACGCAAAGACTTTTTTTGGAAAAGACCCTAGAGGCACAGACAATCAAAGCCCAAATTAACAAATGGGACTATATCAAGCTGAAATGCTTCTGCACTGTAAAAGAAACAGCAAACTGACGAGGCAACCAACAGAATGGGAGAAAAGTATTAAACTACACAACTGATAAAGGGTTAACATCCAGAATCTATAAAGAACTCAAGAAACTCAGCAACAACAAAATTAATAAAATTAAGAAATGGGCAGAGGATTTGAACACACATTTTTTCAAGAGTGGAAGTTCAGATGGCTAACAGAGACTTGAGAAAATGCTTGGGATCACTAGCCATCTGTGAAGTGGAAATCAAAATCACAATGAGGTTTCACCTCACTCCAGTTAGAATGGCTCTCAAAAAGAAAACAACAAACGACAAATGCTGGCGAGGATGTGGGAAAATGGTACCCTGGTCCACTGTTGGTGGGAATGTAAACTAGTAAAACCACAATAGAAGACAGTATGGAGATACCTCAGAAATCTGAATATAGGCCGGCGCCGCGGCTCACTAGGCTAATCCTCCGCCTTGCGGCGCTGGCACACCGGGTTCTAGTCCCGGTTGGGGCGCCGGATTCTGTCCCGGTTGCCCCTCTTCCAGGCCAGCTCTCTGCTGTGGCCAGGGAGTGCAGTGGAGGATGGCCCAGGTGCTTGGGCCCTGCACCCCATGGGAGACCAGGAAAAGCACCTGGCTCCTGGCTCCTGCCATCGGATCAGCGCGGTGCGCCCGCCGCGGCGGCCATTGGAGAGTGAAGCAACGGCAAAGAAAGACCTTTCTCTCTGTCTCTCTCTCTCACTGTCCACTCTGCCTGTTAAAAAAAAAAAAAGAAAAAGAAAAAAAAAAAGAAATCTGAATATAGACCTACCATATGATCCAGCCATCCCTCTCCTGGGAATTTACCCAAACCAAAAGAGATCAACATATGAAAGAGTTATCCCTACCCCATGTTTATTGTAGCACAATTCACAATAGCTACAATATGGAATCAACCCAGATGTCTTTCAACTGTTGATTGGATAAAGAAATTATGGTATATCCCCACGTTGGAGTACTACTTAGTTGTAAAATAAAAAAAAAAAATGAAATCCTTTCTTTTGGGACAAGATGGATGCAACTGGAAACCATTATACTTAGTGAAATAAGCCAGTCCCCAGAAGACAGATATCATATGTTTTCCCTGATCAGTGGTAACTAATAGAGTGCCTGAAATGTAATGTGTAGGTGTGAAATGGATAGTCTGAGATTTGATGATTGTTTACAGCCCTTGTCTCTTCCATTGAGGAACAGTGTTTTTTTTTTTCTTCATACTGTTTGTTGAACTCATAGTTAGAATAGAGTTAACTATATGATCATTAAGTAAACTGAAAATAAATCTTTTTTTAAAAATTAAGGGTTGGAATGTGAGAGGAAGGGGGGAGAGGGTTGGAGTTTGGGCTGGAAGGAGGGTAGGAAAAGAAGTGCCACTATGTTGCTCCATCTGTATATATGAAATAATGTGAAAATTTTATGTCTTAAATAAAATTTTCAAAAAGACCAGCTTTCTTTAAAATATGCAAAAATAAAAGCGTATAAATAATAACAAAAGTACTTGGAAATACTATAGTAAACTTTTAGGATAAAATCAATAATGAAATAATAGGTAATATATTTAAGCATTTACCAAAAAGCTGAAAGATTTCTTGTCTCTTTACACTTTTATCTCAAATCTCATATTAGTCTAATAAAGTGTATCCAACTATCTGTTCAGATTAGTAAATTGTGCTACAGATTGTTAAGCATCCTCAAAGGTACTAACAATAGTTAGGAACTCTCACCTATAATACTAAACCATCTTTGGTAAACTCTAATGTCTTACCAGTGTTAAAGATAGAATCTTTTTTTTTTTTTTTTTTTTTTTGACAGGGAGTGTTAGATAGTGAGAGAGAGAAAGACAGAGAGAAAGGTCTTTTTTTTTTTTTTTCATTGGTTCACCCCAGAAGTGGCTGCTACGGCCGGCGTGTTGCAGCCGGTTGCACTGCCTGATCCAAAGCCAGGAGCCAGGTGCTTCCTCCTGATCTCCCTTGCGGGTGCAGGACCCAAGCACTTGGGCCATCTTCCACTGCACTCCCGGGCCACAGCAGAGAGCTGTCCTGGAAGAGGAGCAACTGGGACAGAATCCAGTGCCCCTACCTTGACTAGAACCTGGGGTGCCGGCGCCGCAGGCTGAGGACTAGCCTAGGGAGCTGCGGCACCAGCCTAAAGATAAAATCTTAAAACCTGCCAGAGAGAGAGAAGAGACTTTTTCTGTGAAAAATAAGAATTAAAATTACATTAAATTTTTAGCAGTGCAGATGCAATACAACAGTACAACATCAAAGTGCTGAGAGAAAACAATTTTGAATTTTGAACTGATTAACTCATGAAATTTAGCATTCAATTGTGATGGTGAAATAAGAGGCAAATAGAATATTAAAAGAAGTTAAAGCCTGAAGCCAAAATACATAAGTGTATGTTCAATGCCTTTATAGTAATATCATTTCAGTGTTTTATGGTTTATATATGACTTCATCACAGGGTAATTGAATAGTAAGGAATTAGACTGAAAAGTATATGTTGGATTCATATTCTAGGGGATTTTGAATACTAAACTGACATGTTTATATTTAGCTATACAAGGGATGGGGGGCGCTTACCACAACCTGTACTATATGTTTAATATTTCAGTTTTGCAGATGAGGAAACTAAGACTTGAGGTGGTTAAGTAATTTGCCCAAGTTATATACTGTTTGGTGATAGAAGAGACCAGTTTGGCACACAGTCAATTGCTCAATACATAATTGTTGGAGGTATGTTTGTCTGCAGACTCTGTGTCAAGGCTAATAAGGAAACAGTTATAATAAAATGTAAGCTTAAAAACAAGGGAGCACAAAGGATGGCTGTCTGAAATTATTATTGGAAGGAGTATTATGAAATGTTTCTCAGTGCAGACAACTGATGACCTTAATCATGATATATAAGGAACAATTTGTTGAATATTTGAAAGGGTAATTTGAATCTCTCCCAAGAGGCATTTTGGTATCTTAATTAAATAAAACTCTGGTGGCCTGGAATACCTCCAGATATCCAGGTATATATGAATCTAAAAAACAAAATGAACAGTGTTTAATAACAAGCTAGAATGTAATGAACCCGAGGTGCATGTTAAATATTTTACAACACTTTTGCAACATTTTAAAAACTGTTATTTCATTAATATTTTTTATCAGAGGTGACATTAAAAATCCAATAGGAGTTCTAGAGAGAAACAGAGGTAAATAACAAAATCAGTGTCAGTTACAGGGGGAAAAAAGATCTCTTTGTGAAAAAAAAAAATGTAAGTAGTAAGAATTTTTTTTCTCCTTTTATTTAGGGAAGAAAATTATTTCAGAGCTTGGATATTTCTGAAAGACTAAAATTTTTGCTTACTCTGGGTAAGTTTCATGCAATTGATAATCTTTCAAGAGTAAGTATAATCTTTAACAACTTTAGTAATCATGAACATTGAAGATGTGTTCTTTTGAAATAGTGAAATATCTCACTTTTCTCCTAGGTTCTTATCACTGGTAAGCATTAAGAGGACAGCTTAAGAAGTGCCTACTGAGATATTACAGCAGAGGTTACTTTCTTCACTAAAGCTTATTAATCTGGTTGAAAATAATCTTAGTTTCATGATCTAGCCAAGTAAATTAATTTGTGAGATCAAAGTGTGAGAATATAAAATTACATTCTCTGTAGTAGTTTACTTACAGATAATAAATTGTAACTTTGGGCTATTTTCTATTTGTGATAAATCATGTATGAGTAAAAGCTCAAGAAGAATATTTATTTTTCTTATAACAAGCTTATATATTTTATCCATAAGTATAGATGCAAGCATTTGTAATTCAAATGAATTAAAATTTGGGTAGCAAATTAAGTATGTGTGTTAATAAAGGATGGAAAATAGCAATAGAATGCTTTATGAAGAATAATGACACATTAGTGTCCAGATTAAGAGAATTTCCAAATAAGGGTATGTGCAGAAAAGTATCAATAAATATTAAAACCATATTGAATTCTAAATAGAATTGCATAAAATCTTACCAGATTTACCATATTTTCTTACAAAGATAATGCACATCCAAGGAAGCAGCAAAGGATGACTCAAGTGCTTGGGTCCCTAACATCTTCATTGGAGGCCTGGATGGAGTTCTGAGCCCTGGCAGTTGTGGGCATTTGGGGAATGAACCAGTAGATGGATCACTCTCTCTCTCTCTCTCTCTCTCTCTCTCTCTCTCTGTGTGTGTGTGTGTGTGTGTGTGTATAAGTGTCTGTGTCTGCTTTTCAAATAAATTTAAAAATTAAAAATATTTCTAGAATTTAAATCCATTCATAATTATTCATAACAGGCATTTTCCATGAATTTTTTGAAGACCTCTTGTAGTTTCGTAGGGAGAAGGGAGAGAGAAAGAGTGGGAGAGAGGACCCGGTGCTGCGGTGTGGCAGGTAAAGCCGCCAACTGTGGTGCTGGCATCCCATGTGGGTGCCGGTTCAAGTCCCAGTTGATCCACTTCCACTCCAGCTTTCTGCTATGGCCTAGGAAAACTGTGGAAGATGGCCCAAGTCCTCGGGCCCCTGCTCCCATGTTGGAGACCCGGAGCAAGTTCCTGGCTTCTGGCTTTAATTTGCTCAGTTCTTGTCATTGCAGTGACCTGGGTGTGTGTGTGTGTGTCTCTCTCTCTCTGTAGCTCTTCCTTTCAAATAAATAAATCAATATTTAAAAAAAAAAGAGTGGGGGAGAGAGAGAATACCTTTACCTTTTTTGAATCATTCTTTTATATTAGTATTTACCCTACTAACAGTATCTGTAATTCAATTAGTGTTTGAGATTCTTTATTTTTATCAAAACATCTAAGAGATGTTAACAAAATCACAATCTTGCCAAACTGCATTTCACTATTTTAAAAGTTTTGGTTAGAATTCATTTCCTGGTTAGTCTAATAGATTAGAAATGCATCATTTATTCATATAGTTTTTCTGTTTTATAGACTGTGTAGATGACACTATTACAGTTCTGGCTGAAGAGCATGGGTGTCTGGACATTATAAAGGTTTGTTCCTCAGTGTTAGTTCATTTGTGCTGCCCTCTCAAAACACCTGAGACTGTTTAAATAATAGAAAGGAAAGATATATATTCTCACATTTCTAGAGGCTAGCATGATGTCCAAGGTCAAGGCACTGGAGGTTTCAGTTTTCTGGTAAGAACTACATCCCATGAAAGAGAGGAATGCTGTGTCCTCACAGAGTATCTAGAAGAATACTGAATGAGTTTTTTTTTTTCAGTAAATTTTTTTATTTATATAAAGTGAATAAATCTCATATATACAGATTTAGAAACATCATAATACTTAAAAACCTTAAACCAATCCACAAAGATAGGAACCTTTATGATGCTGGAAGGCCCAATCACTTAATGCCATCACATTAGCCCTTAAGTTTGAAAACCTGAATTTCAGAAGCAATACATCTACTCCATGGCAATCTGTTAATGAAAATTTGTTTATTTTGCATATTTGGGAACTATCAGCATGTTATTTTAAAGCTATGTTTATTTTTCATTACATATTTGCTTTTTCAGAGCAACAAATTAATATAAATTTGTAGTTAATTTAAGAGTTTTTTTTTTTTTAATCAAAACCTGCTAGAGTAGCAGACATTTCAATAAAGTTTAAAAATTTACTTTCTCAGGACTGGCGTTGTGGTGTAGCAGATAAAGCCTCCACCTGTGGCACCAGTATCCCATTTGGGCACCAGTTTGAGTGCTGGCTGTTTTACTTTTGATCTAGCTCCCTGCTAATGTACCTGGGAAAGCAACAGAAGGTGGCCCAGGTGCTTGAGACCCTGCATCAAAGTGGGAGACCTAGGAAGAACTCCTGGTTCCTGGCTTCAGTCTGGCCCAGTCTGGCCTAGCCTGGCCACTGGGGCCATTTGGAGAGTGAACCAACAGATGGAAGATCTTTTTCTTCTATATCTCTCCTTCTCTCTCTGTAACTCTGTCTTTAAAATGAATAAAATAAAAATCTTTAAAAATTTATTTTCTCTCTTCATTTACCAGGAGCTTCCTGAAAATGTGATAGATCTTTTGAAGAAGTGTCTCACCTTCCACCCTTCAAAGAGGTTGGTTTTATTAAGAGTTTGGGATTACTGTTAGATCCCTTATATAAAAGCAGTTAAATAAAGACATTTACATATATAGTAGTACATAAATGATATCAGTATCATAACTGTGTGTGACTTGACATTAATTTTTATTAATAAAAGAAAAATATTAAATGATTAAACAATGGTCAGAAAATTAACATACCAAAAGAGGTTAACCAGCTACTTTCTAGGCTTCAAATAGAAACCAATTAAATTGCAGAGTATAGATTCTCCTCGACTCAAGGAGAATATCAAAGAAATGAGAGCAAAAGTTTGTTAACAATATATATTATAGCAGTGAGCTTGGATAAATGGTGAGGGAAATTAAAAATTATTGATAAAATTTCTTTGAAGTTTTATTAATTTGCTTTCATTTGATGATGTGACTTTGAGTCATAAAGATATTCCTAAATTCCTTGAACATATAATGTTTAAAAATAATGTGCTGTAATTTGTCTTTTGAAAAACAGCTATTTCAAGTCATGTTAGAAATAGAGTATTGGTATTTAAATCATATTTTTCAGTGAATTTTGCCACATTAAATTAAAAGAGTAAGAAAACCCAAAAGGTATTGATTTGCATATTTATGAGATTCTATAATGCAAGAGTATGCTAGTTAGGCTATTAATAAAAAATGCAAGACCTTTTATGGGATGATTTTTGGTATATCATAAGGTATGATAGTACAATGAAGTAAAATCTTTCCATATTTATTCACAATCATTTGGTTGTTTTATAGAGGTATAGATGTAGACTCTGCTGCAGATAACTTTATTATTTTCTGTGCAAATGCGTTACTTAAGACTTGTAACTATCCCTTTGAATATTTGCCATTATTCTAGAAACATTGTTAAAGCTATCACTTATGTATTTTAAATATGCTTCTCAAGGCCAACTCCAGATGAATTGATGAAGGACAAATTGTTCAGTGAAGTGTCACCTTTATATACCCCCTTTATCAAACCTGCCAGTCTGTTTTCATCTTCTTTGAGATGTGCTGACTTAACTTTGCCTGAGGATATCAGTCAGTTGTGCAAAGGTAATGATAAATAAAACAGGTAATAATATGAACCAGATTTTTAAAGTAAATCCCATTATCCTATTTTCAATTTTGCACTTAACAATTTTAAACACACACAAACACACAATTAGTGTAATTTTATGAATAATTATTTGGGAAATTAAGAGAGTATTCTAGAAGTACTTAAAACAGCTGAACTAATATTTTAATTGTTTAACCTTCAATTATTGTTATTCCATGTAACTTACTATCCATGAACTATAAAAATCATGTTATTGATAGAAAATCCATACTATTATGTTTTTCATGCTAAAGAGAATACAAGTTAGCATCTCTAATCTGAAAGTCCAGAATCTGGAACATTTTGAACAATGACATGATGCTATGAAGTATAGCAAAAGGAGCACCTAATTATGCCAGAGACATTACAAAATCACTTCTCAGAAGAGACATCTATTGCCTTGAAATACAAATGACAGGACAGTTTGTGTCAATTGCCTACCCAAGTGCTTCCCTCCTCCCATTCTTTTCCCAATATAAAGGGCAAACATTCCAATTCTATGTCTCCAATATAACAGGTAAAAGCTCCAGACTTTCTATTTTCTAGATTCCCTCATTACAGGAAGTAGATTTGTAAACTAGAGTTGTCTAATGGAGTTCAAATGGAAGTCAGCTGGGACTCAGGGTGTCTTCTAGGGAAAAAAAAATTAAAGGAAACAACAACAAAAAAACACTTTATTGGACAGTAAAGGCACTGTAATAGTCATTTGCCTTCTCTTCTGAATAAAGGAAATGGTTCTAGAATTTTGCCAGACTTAGGCCCCTGAGCAATTTGTACCAATGCTTTAATTAAGAGACTTGAATACATTGTTATTGTGTAATCTATTTTTACTGGAATATTTATCTTTAGCCTAGAGCATTCAAACTATTACAAAAGACAAGTCAGGATCTGCCAGTCACAGCATCCTTTCATGGTGAGAGAAAGGAAACACCCAACTCCAGATCATTCTAGCCATTCTCTTCTACCTCAGGGCAGGATGCACTTGGGAAAAAAACAGACCAGACACACAGGCTCATTAAAAGATTGAGATCTAATCATAGGACTATGGAATGCTTTCCTTCTCTCTCCTTCCGTCCCACCACACAGAAAGCTATTTCCTTTTTCTCTGTCAGCTATGGTCAGATAACACTCCTAGTTAACTAGTTTCTCCTATGGCAGACCTAGAGATAAAACTCAGAAAAGTCTTGAGTTCCCCTGTGACTGGGTATCCCTGAAGTTTTTAACTCTCAGGTTAGTCCATATTCGACTTCCAGCAATTGACCAATTATAGTTCAAGTTTTACTGCCCCATGACTGGTTCCTAAGATGTTTCTGCTGATGAGTCTGCTCTAGGTCACCATGACTCTGTAATTTTCTGTCTGTCCCTCCAATCTTGGAGGCAGTGGTTTGCCCTGTGTTCTAACCTCTCTTATAATTCAAGGAAGAAGTGTTGATTTTGCAGTCTGTTTAGCTATTGACTTGTTGGCATTGAGTGGTGATTTAAAGCTCCTTATATCCAAAACCAGGAATAGGAAGTGTGTTCATTTTTGTATTTTTTTATAGAATGTGAGCTGTTATTGTCTATTGAATTTTAATAAAAACTTTAATTTCTGATTGTTTTTAATTTGACATTAATAGATACAAACAGTGATTACCTGGCAGAAAGATCTATTGAAGAAGTTTATTACCTTTGGTGTTTGGCTGGAGGTGACTTGGAGAAAGAGCTTGTCAACAAGGAAATCATTCGATCCAAGCCACCTATCTGCACACTCCCCAAGTAAGGAAATGAAAACTCCTCTTAAAACGATACAAAGCTAGAGGAGAGGGCATTTAGCTTAACAGTTAAGATGCCTGCCTGCTATATCAGGGTATGTGGATTCAGTTCCCACCTCCAGCTTCTGACTCCAGCTGGCTGCCAGTGGAAACCCTGGGAGATAGCCTGTAATGGCATAAGTAATTCAGTCCCTGACACCCATGGGGAAGACTTGATTGAGTTCCAACTCCCGGATGCCATGCACTGGCCATTGTTGGCATTTGGGGAGTAAATCAGCAGATGGGGATATCTCAATCTCTGTTTCTCTCTTAAAAGTTAAAATAAATTAATAAAGAACATTTTCAATTTTAGATTTTAGGATTTAGATTTAATCATGCAGACAACCATAGAAATCATCTGCCAAGCATATTTTTCTTTACTTGTTACATTTTTAGGTTATTGGGAGACACCATTAATTTTCTACTATTTTCCCTTTTAAATTGATTTTTTAATATTAACGTTAACTATATCATTCATCCATTAAGTCGAAAATCAGAAATACCACAGTGGAAAAGTCCAAGAAGAAAGGATTTGAAGGATATGTAGATTCTTAATATTCTAAAAATGTACACAAATTTACTGTATGTGTTAGTCAATATTCTTTCTCCTAAGAAGTTACTATCCAATGCACTTTTTCTTTGTTCATTTTTCACCTACGTAAACTTTCTTGGGAGTACATTTGGATAATATTGGGAGAGTAAATTTAATGCTGAATCTGCATGAATAGAGTTGTAGATAACACCCTTGTATTTTTAGAGTGCATTATACTTTTATGGTGTGTTCACATTAACTGAAGATACCTAAAAATTAGGTTTATTTGGAGAAGTTGCAACCAACAGTTTTATTTTTTAATTAACCATGTATCTAAAATTTACTTCTTTCTTGATGAAAGGAGGGAAGTTTGATTATATTCTTAGAATCTTATCTGTGAAATTCATGAACTCTTTTCTTTGTTAATAAATTACAAAATGTAAAAAAAAGTGAATTCTATTTTCTAGAAAAAGTAAATTGGATATTTGTGCTCATTATAATAATTATTTTTGAAATCTCTTTCCAGTTTTCTCTTTGAAGATGGTGAAAGTTTTGGACAAGGCCGAGATAGAAGTTCACTTTTAGATGATACCACTGTGACATTGTCATTGTGCCAGCTAAGAAATGTAAGAATGGTATTTTGCCAAATTTTCTTCAGATTTTTTAAAATTTAAACATTATAAATGCACATTAAGCCTTGTGTTTCTCTCTGAATTCATATAATAAATAAGAGCTTCTTTAAAATGTATGTCCTAGTGTGGAATTGCTAGAAAATAACATATATCATTTGAACTTTAATATATGTTGCCTGATTTTTCAAAAATGATTGGATCAGTTTATTTTCATCATCATTAGGTAAATGCTCTCATTTCTCAGTTACTCAGTAACTCTTGGTGGTATCCAATTAAAAAATTGCTATTTTAATATTATAGGATTGTGTTTTTGTATAATACTAATTTTAATTCCTGATTATTTAGCAGTTGTGAGTCTTCATACTTTATATCTGTTTGTTTTTTAACTTCTTCTCTACATTCGCACTTGTCAGTTTGTCTTTTGGATGATTTCTTATTGATTTAAGGACTTCCAAAGATACATTACAGATATTATCTTTGGGGAACTATATCTTGCAAAGATCTTCTAATTGATTTTTTTTAAGTTTTTGATTGTATCTTAATAGATTCTAAATTTTTATCAGTGTTTTAATTTATAGTCAAATATATATATACATATACATAATTTATTTTTTATTTGAAAGTCAGAGTGATGAGAGAGGGAGAGACAGAAGGAGTTGTCTTCCATCTGCTGATTCACTCCCAAATGCATCCAACAGACAGGACTGGGCCAGGCCAAAGCAAGGAGGCAGGAATTCCATCCTGGTCTACCCCATGTATAGCAAGGACCAAAGTACTTGGGACATCAATCACTACCTTCCCAGGTGCATTAGCAGATTGCATTCTAATACGGGATGCTGTCATCCAAAGCGGCAGCTTACCCTCCTGCATCATGACACCCACCCTTGTAGTCAAATATATTATATTTGATAAATTTTTCTTTTTGTAATTTAATATTATACCAGGGTTATAATTATTTTTCTTTAATATTCCCTTGTATTTTTTGAGATTTTAAGAATTTTATTTATATTTAGTTTTTAATTCACCTAGAATTTAGTTTTGAGACATTTGTGAGCAAGGCATCCAGTGTCATGTTTCATTGAAAAGAAATTATGCCCTTCCTCAGTTTGTATATTAGAATAGTTTATACTCTTTGCTTTCATTTAAAGATCTATTTGTTTATTTGTTTGTTTATTTGAAAGAGTTACAGCAAAAGAGGTAGAGAGAGAGAGAGAGAGAGATCTTCCGTCCACATGGTTCACTCCCTAGATGGCCACAGTAGCCAGCACTGGGCCAGTCCGAAGCCAGGAGCCAGTAGCTTCCTCTGGGTCTGCCACATTGATGGTAGAGGCCCAAATGCTTAGGCCATCTGCCACTGCTTTTCCTAGGCCATTAGCAAGGAGCTGGTTCAGGGGTGGACTAGCTGGCATATGGAGTGGCACCGTATCACTAGCTTTATCTGCTGTGCCACAGCAACAGCCCCACTCTTTGCTTTCTTGATTTATGGTACCAACTCTTTGGTGTAAGTGTAGATGTATTTGTGGGCTCTTGTATTATGACCTGTGGTAGTTTATCTCAACATTGGCCAACACCACACTTGAATTAACATATAGCATTATGTGAAGACTGGATGTCCAGCAAGGGAAAATCTTCAACTTATTGTTTGCAAAAAAGACTATGATTAAGATATTTCTTGCTGTACTTTCTGATTTTTGTAATCATCTGATTGAGTTTCATAAATAAATTTATAGAATGTTAATTTAAATGTCATTGACTTTAGGTTAATTTATATCTTTAAAATATAAAATCCTGTTTCTTGAACATGCTATAGATATATCATTTAAGTTTTTTTTCACATCTTAATTTCCTTTTTTGATGTATATATCAGCTTTAAAATTTCTTACTAAGGTATTTAGTATTGCAGTTGTAAACTGAATATATGTATGTACAAATAAATTTTTCTAAAATTTTATCTTGAAAATTTTCAGAAAAAGTTGAAATGATTTTACAGTGGACAAGGTATCATCTAGATTAAGAGTTACTATGATCTATTGGCCAAATCAAGTTGTCCCCATTTGTTTATCTATTGTTTATGACTATGTTACACTGTGGCAAAGTTAGTTGTCATAGAGGCCATATGATCCACAAAGCTGAAAATAGTTATTATCTGACCCTTTGTAGGAACATTTGCTAACTCACACCTGGATTCAATAATTAACACTTATTTGACTTATCACATGCTATCAGCCCCTCTGTGTCATTCATCAGTCTGTCATATTTATATTTGTTGTTACATTTCAAAGTATGAAGAAGACATTACTATACTTCAGGCAAATTGTATTTCTTAAAATATAAACTATGACGTCAAAATAAGAGAGTACATAGCACATCAGTTTTTAATCAGTTTTTAGATTAGCCATAACTCCTTTTTTTTAAAAATTCTCAGTGTTGGGCAAAATACTTTTCTTGGTCTTTTACAATTCTGGAATTAACTTACATGGATGCACAATGACTGTAATCAACAGAAGATCAGTGCTGGCTACACAAAGACCTTCAATTTGTGTGTCAGTACACATAGGAATAGGTACTTTTTGCCTTCCAATTGGAAATTTAAAAACAGAATATCAGGAAAGATGGCATTAACATTAATCAGCCACATTACTAAGATATTACTTTAATACTGCCTATGTAATACATATTTTTTTAATTCAGAGATTGAAAGACGTTGGTGGAGAGGCATTTTATCCATTACTTGAAGATGAGTGAGTATAAATACATTTATTTTCTGTTTGTGTTAAATGTGTAAAAAGTTTGTACCTTTTATTTTTTAAAAAAAAATTATGTAAGGTATACAAGTTTCATGTATTATATATATACAGATTTAGGAACACAGTGGCACTTCCTCTCCCCACCCAGGCACCATCTCGTCTTCCTCCTCCCTCTCACAATCTCACTCTTAATTTTTACAAAGCTCTACTTTCAGTTTACTTAATGATTATATAGCTAATCCTACACTAAGTACAAGAATTCAAAATAGTATGAGAAAAAAAATTGTTCCTCAACAGAAGATGCCAGGGCTATTACAATCATCAGAATTCAAACGGTCCATTTCACTACTACACACTACATTCCAGGTATTCTATTAGTTACCACTGATCAGGGAAAACATATGATATCTGTCTTTTGGGTACTGGCTTATTTCACTAAGTATAATGGTTTCCAGTTATCTTGTCCCAAAAGAAAGGATTTCATTTTTTTATTTTACAACTGAGTAGTACTCCAACGTGGGGATATACCATAATTTCTTTATCCAATCAACAGTTGAAAGACATCTGGGTTGATTCCATATTGTAGCTATTGTGAATTGTGCTACAATAAACATGGGGTAGAGATAACTCTTTCATATGTTGATTTCTTTTGGTTTGGGTAAATTCCCAGGAGAGGGATGGCTGGATCATATGGTAGGTCTATATTGAGATTACTGAGGTATCTCCATACTGTCTTCTATTGTGGTTTTACCAGATTACATTCCCACCAATAGTGGACCAGGGTACCATTTTCCCACATCCTCGCCAGCATTTGTCGTTTGTTGTTTTCTTTTTGAGAGCCATTCTAACTGGAGTGAGGTGAAACCTCATTGTGGTTTTGATTTTCACTTCATTGATGGCTAGTGATCCCGAGCATCTTCTCAAGGGGCTGTTGGCCATTTGAATTTTCTCTCTTGAAAAATGCCTGTTGGCCGGCGCCGCGGCTCACTAGGCTAATCCTCCGCCTTGCGGCGCCAGCACACCAGGTTCTAGCCCCAGTCGGGGCGCCGGGTTCTGTCCTGGTTGCCCCTCTTCCAGGCCAGCTCTCTGCTGTGGCCAGGGAGTGCAGTGGAGGATGGCCCAGGTACTTGGGCCCTGCACCCCATGGGAGACCAGGAGAAGCACCTGGCTCCTGCCATTGGATCAGCGCAGTGCGCTGGCCGCAGTGCGCCAGCCGCGGTGGCCATTAGAGGGTGAACCAACAGCAAAAGGAAGACCTTTCTCTCTGTCTCTCTCACACTGTCCACTCTGCCTGTTAAAAAAAAAAAAAAAAAAAAAGAAAGAAAGAAAGAAAGAAAAATGCCTTTTGAAGTCTTTTGCCCATTTCTTAATTTTATTTTTTGTTTTGTTGTTGTTGAGTTTCTTGAGCCCTTTGTAGATTATGGATGTTAATACTTTATCAGTTGCATAGTTTGTGAATACTTTTCCCCGTTCTGTCAGTTGCCTCTTCAGTTTGCTGAGTGTTTCTTTTGCAGTGCAGAAGCATCTCAGCTTGACATACTCCCATTTGTCAATTTTGGCTTTGATTGCCCATGCTTCTGGCGTCTTTTCCAAGAAGTCTTTGCCTATGCCAGTGTCTTACAGAGTTTCCCCAATGTTCTCTGGTGTTTTGATGCTATCCTGTTGTAGATTTAGGTCTTTGATCCAATTTGAGTGGATTTTTGTGTAAGGTGTAAGGTACGGGTTTAGTTTCATACTCCTGCACATGAACATCTAGGTTTCCCCGAATCATTTGTTGAAGAGATTGACCTTGCTCCAGGAACTGCTTTTAGAGTGTGTATGTTTTTTTAGTAATATATTTTCTAAACAGATAATAAAAATATATTACTTTGGCTTATTAAAATGTTTTACCTTTTTTCATTTACTTTGCTTTTATGCTTCTTTTATAGCCAGTCGAATTTACCTCATTCAAACAGCAATAATGAGTTGTCTGCAGCTGCCACTCTTCCTTTAATCATCCGAGAGAGGGACACAGAGTACCAGCTAAACAGAATCATTCTCTTTGACAGGCTGCTAAAGGTAAGGATTCTCATGTATGAAGTGTTAACAATAGCCCATATACAATGAATTTTTAGAATTCTGTTAATTCTTATTGAATCTTGATGTCATGAGAGGACAGAGTCTTATAAATCTTTCCAAATAGGCCGGCGCTGCAGCTCACTAGGCTAATCCTCAGCCTATGGAGGTACCACAGGTTCTAATCCTGGTTGGGGTGCCAGATTCTGTCCCAGTTGCTCCTCCTCCAGTCCAGCTCTTTGCTGTGGCCCGGGAAGGCAGTGGAGGATGGCCCAAGTCCTTGGGCCCTGCACTTGCATGGGAGCCCAGGAGGAAGCACCTGACTCCTGGCTTTGGATCAGCGCAGCGTGCCACCCCTACCAACCATTTGAGGAGGAACCAACGGAAGGAAAACCTTTCTCTCTGTCTCTCTCTATCACTGTCTAACTCTGCCTGTCCAAAAAAAATAAATAAATAAAGCTTTCCAAGTAACTCTATTTTTTGTAAAAATGATGCAGAATTAGGATAAGTAACATCAAAAGTACAAATTAAGTGTAATAATATATGCGCAATTATGTTAAACAAAGGATTAGTGTCGCTCCCCCTCTTCGTGGAGGAACGACACAGGACCCTGCGCTGTTCTTTCGTCTGCTCGGCCCTCCCCGGGTTTGCTGCTGGTTCTTCCCGGGTTGGCTACTATCCCTTCCACCTCCGTGGAAGGGCAGTTCCCCCTGGCCGCATTCCCCACTTCCGCAGGGGAGCGGCACACCGCCGGCCGGCTCTTCTCGGGGGCTGCACAGGTGTTCCCTCAGCTAGATGTTCCCCATAGATGTTCCCCATAGATGTTCCTGGTGCATGCCGTCTCTCTCCTCCTTTATAGTCCTCCTCCGCCAATCCCAACTCGGCTGCCCACACGCCGAGTACGCCGCTCTCCAATCAGGAGCAAGTCCTACAGTTTATTAGCTGAACTGGAGGCAGCTGTGCGGAAGCTGTTTACTTCTCTCCCAGCGCCATATTGTGGGAGAGCAGATGCATAGAATAAGTCTTAATTCCAGTAACTCAGTCTAGTCCGGTTTGCTCCCCACAGATTAGTATCTTTTTTAAGAAGACTTAAAAATCCATAGGAGGAAGCATTGCCATTGAAATACGGAAATAGATAAAGTAAATAATATAAAATCAGTTAACAATTATTAACTAACAATTAAAAATAGTAAATGAAAGTCAGGGCTTTTGCATACCAAATTAAGAAAGTGAGCAAAGGTACCCTGAAACTGGAACTGTCATTCTTTTGAAATAATTGTAAATGAAAACATTTTGTAAAGCAATTTGAAAGTATACATCACAAAATTTGACATCCATATCTTTTGTTTTAATAGTTCTCTTCTAAAAATCTCTCCTAAATTCAAATTTATAAAAGGACAAATTTATATGCAATATGCAGGGGTAGCTGTAATAACACTTTCTACAAGGATAGTTGGAGGCCGGCGCCGCGGCTAAATAGGCTAATCCTCTGCCTTGCGGCGCCGGCACACCGGGTTCTAGTCCTGGTGGGGGCGCCGGATTCTGTCCCGGTTGCCCCTCTTCCAGGCTAGCTCTCTGCTGTGGCCCGGGAGTGCAGTGAAGGATGGCCCAAGTCCTTGGGCCCTGCACCCCATGGGAGAACAAGGAGGAAGCACCTGGCTCTGGCTTTGGATCAGCGCAGTGTGCTGGCTGCAGCGGCGAACAAATGGTAAAGGAAGACCTTTGCGGGTAAGGGGGCTCTCTCACTGTCCACTCCACTCTGTCAAAAAAAAAAAAAAAAAAAAAGGATAGTTGGAAAAGTTTATGGGAAATGGAATTTAATGATGTTTATTTTGGTGTAAAATAATTTTGAAATCCATGCATAATTTGTTGATAATATGCATATTCCATAGTTTGAAGACACCTCCTATATTCCTCACATTTTTATAACATGCTTTACATGTTACCTTATTTAACTCCTGGTACTATGATTGTCCACTTGACTGATTCATAATCTACCCAAAGCACAATTACAAATGGTTTTTAAAAAGTAGAATCAGCTCTTCATTTTAAATATTATGCATGCTTTAGTGAGAGTTGAGGCTTCCTATTCCATTGATTAAATATATGGGTTAGCAAAAACAGGTCTGATAATTGTAAATACTTTAAAATGTATTGTAGATAATGATTTCGTCACTGGTGTGTTTAGAACTGTCCAGATTAAAACAAGGCACTTTGTAATTTGAATATTTTCCACTTCTTTTTCATATCCTAGGCTTATCCCTATAAAAAAAATCAAATTTGGAAAGAAGCAAGAGTTGACATTCCTCCTCTGATGAGAGGATTAACCTGGGCTGCTCTTCTGGGAGTTGAGGTAAGAAAGCAAAGAGAAGGTTAGAAGCTGATTAATAGTGCTAAGATAGGATAAAGAAAAATATAGTTTTCTGATTATGTATTCTTCAAGTTATAGAAAGTATATAGTAAAATATGACCATTAGAATGTTTGAAAATTTTGAGTTAAACACAAGAAATGAATTAATTAGAAAAATATAATGAAGATTTGTTATATTTTCACTGGTTAATATTTAATAGGACTCACAGGAAATATCTTGATTATTAATTACAAAATTAGAATATTTAAAAAGGTAAATCATAAGTAGGTAGGTAGTCTTGCTTATAAAGTGTGCTAATTTTGGCATGTGATCACTTAGAAAGTGATTCTGTATTAATGGGCCAGCACTGTGGCTCATGTGGTTAATCCTCTGCCTGTGGTGCCTGTTCTAGTCCCGGTTGCTCCTCTTCCAGTCCAGCTCTCTGCCGTGGCCCAGGAGGGCAGTGGAGGATGGCCCAAGTGCTTGGGCCCTGCACCCGCATGGGAGATCAGGAAGAGGCACCTGGCTCCTGGCTTTGGATCTGCATAGCTCCAGCTGTGGCAGCCATTTGAGGGGTGAACCAACAGAAGGAAGACCTTTCTTTCTGTCTCTCTCTCACTGTCTAACTCTGTCAAATAAATGAATACATACATACATACATACATAGAAAAGAAAGTGATTATATATTTAGAAAAATCTTTCAATCCAATTTATGCCTTGTCAAAATCACTAATGTAATATACTTGCTTTGGCACACATATGTTCTCGGCCACACATTTCTCTATGGCAGTGAGGAAAAGAGAGATGTCACAAAATGATTAGGGCAGCTTGCATTCCTAAGAGAACTCTGTGATTGCCACCAACATGGGCTGAATTGTTGCCAGGCTTTTTCATTTCCTGTTAATTTCTTTGTTGTCATGTTTTCCTATGTTCTCTTACACATATCTATTATTTTTTTAATTTCCTCAACTGGTTTTCTTTTTTTAAAATTCTCTATTAGAATTTTCTTTTAATCCTGATCTCCCTCAATAAGAATTTACAAATATTTTTTGTTTGAATGGTTACTTTGCAAGAATAGCTATTATATGATACTATACACCAATCATTCGAATTGCTGAGTCATATAATGCTAATGTTCAGGAGGGTTGCTGGTGTCAGGTTGTCCAAACATCTCATTAAATAAATGTTCCAAAGAAGTAGGTACAGGGGCCGGTGCTGTGGGCTCTGCTCTCTGCTAATGTACCTGGGAATGCAGCAGCACATGGCCCAAATCCCTGGCACCCATTTGGGAGACAGATGAAGTTCCTGTCCCCTGCCTTAAGGCTGGCCCGGCGTGTGCAGCCACTTGGGGAGTGAACCTGTGAATGGAAGGTATCTCTTCTTCTTTCTCTGACCCTCCCTCTCTCTCCGTAACTTTGCCTTTCCAATAAACCAATAAATCTTAAAAAAAATTTAAATCCAACAAAATATGTGTGATTTTGAGTCCAAATTTCTGGTTCGTACTGTACTGTGATGGTAAAACGGAATAAAGATAACTTTTTCATGCTTCGTCCTATAGAACATAAACAAAATTTGAAGTAATTTCAATTATTCCTTCTATAACAATAAAACTGAAAAATGTTAATGAATCCTTGTGTTTAATGATTATATGATATCAACTGTTTAAGTTATCCCAAACTTCTATTTCCTGGTGTTGAGTTATCTCCTCCTTTGAATAGTTTATTTCTTTTTTGCTTTCATTAACAATGTTAAAAGAAAAATTTCTTATACAATGACACCTCCTCCCAAAAATGTTTTGTTTCCTCATGGATGTTGCTATTTATGAAATAGCAATGACAAGAGAACAACAAGGCTGTTTTGTGTTGTACTTACTAGCTAATTGATTCATCTTTGCCTCTTATATTCTGGTGTATATAAATAAGAGGCCTGCCTCAGCAAAACGGCCCATTGGCACTTGTTGTAGACCTTCATATTAGATTGTCAGACATGTAGAGAAGTTCTTTTAAGTTGAGATATAATATAGACTTGAAATACTTATCTGTAGTTGGGTAGGTTTCAGAAGATAACTGTTTATAAGAGATATATTTTCCTCTACAGGTTAATACAAAATTCTAAAGTCTAATGCAGTAACACTGAAGGGTTTTTTTTGTTTTTATTTTTTAAGATTTATTTATTTATTTGAGAGTTATACAGAAAGAGAAGGAGAGGCAGAGAGAGAGAGAGGTCTTCCATCCACTGTTTCACTCCCCAGTTGGCTGCAACAGCTGGAGCTGCACTGATCCAAAGCCAAGAGCCAGGAGCTTCCTCCAGGTCTTCCCATGTGGGTGTACGGACCCAAGGACTTGGGCCATCTTCTACTGTTTTCCAGGCCATAGCAGAGAACTGTATAGGAAGTGGAGCAGCCGGGACTTGAACCGGTAACTGTATGGGATGCTGGCATTGCAAGCAGCAGTTTTACCCACTTAGCCACAGTGCTGGCCCCCTGAAGTTTTTAAAGTAAACAAGTAAATGTTATGCGGAGAGTCTAAAAATCAAAAAAGACATTGAGATCTGAAACACTCCTAATCCCTAGCACATTGGATAAGGGACACTTAAGTAACTTGCATTTTTAATTTTTTAATGATATGATGAATTAATATACTATTTTTTTGCAGGGGGCTATTCATGCCAAATATGATGCGATTGATAAAGACACACCAATTCCTACAGATAGACAGGTATGATTTAGATGCTTTTAAGTAACCTAAGATAATTCTACCAAATGTTTAAATTTTAGAAAAGCATGGAGGAAGTTTCTTCCTTTCATTATGAATATACAGCTATTGCTATATACATAGGTGTTAGAATAAGCATAACTCTAATAAATTAGAACAATGCTTAAAAGACTTCAAATGAATTTTTTAAATGTATTTAATTTTTGTTTCTGTTTTAGCTTTTAACATCATATAGTTCATACAGTTCTAAGAATATAATGATAAACCTTTCTCTTTCACTTTCTCCCCTCCCTCCCTCCCTCCCTCCCTCCCTCCCTTCCTCCCTTCCTCCCTTCCTCTCTCTCTCTCTTTCTCTTCCTTTCTCCTCTCTCTCTCTCCTTTGTTTCTTTCTTTTTTAGTTTTTGAGATAACACATTTTTAATTTACATAACAGCTAAGGGCTTAATGCTGCACCAGACAAAATGTTTACCAAAGTAAAAAGCGGAAAAATCCTAGTTTAGTGAGGAATATAGGCAAGGACTATAAATAACTGAATAGAAGGATGATCATTTCACCCATATACAATAAATTTTAAAGTAATCACAGATCATTAAAACTATACTAGTGTAACATTTCAGGTAAACTTTTTTTAATAACTTTACTTCATCTAAAGAATTTTCCCTTTATAGTAATAAGAAGGTATTATTTAAAACTACATTCACAAGGGTATTTGAGAAAGTTTGTGGGAAAATAGAATTTAAAGATAGGCTTATTTTGAAATAAAAAATTTTTTAGATTTATGCTTAGTTTTTTTTTACATAATATGCATTCTCCAAGAACTTTTTGAAGAACTCTCTTACATATTTTTCAAATGAAATAGCCTGTTTCTTCTGTTTAACTGGGTGTACAATTTTTTGATTAGTCCAGAAATTAATGAAAAAATTTAAATTCTTTAGATACAGGGATAATGCAGGTGTTCTATTCTGCAATTCATATTGCAATCACTCCTCTTCCTTACTATTCTAAGAAATAAGGGTTTTGAGTATATTGGGTATCACCTTGACTTTTATAGTTGCACTTTATTCCTTTGCTGTTTTTCAGATTGAAGTGGATATTCCTCGCTGTCATCAGTATGATGAACTGTTATCATCACCAGAAGGTCATGCAAAATTTAGGCGTGTATTAAAAGCCTGGGTGGTATCACATCCTGATCTTGTATACTGGCAAGGTAACTTTTTTACTTGTTGAGACTTTTCTTGGAGTTCTAGGAGCTTGGTGCATGATTGATAATATTTTTTAAGATTTATTTATTTATTTATTTACTTATTTGAAAGGCAGAGAGAGAGGGAGACGAAGAAAGTGAGATTTTCCATCCACTAGTTCACTTCCCAAAAAGCTACAGGCTAAAGTCAGGAGCCAGAAACTCCATCTTGGTGTCCCACATAGGTGGCAGCTGCCCATGTACTTGGGGCATCTTCCACTGCCTTCTCAGGCACATTAACCAGGTGCTGGATGGAAGCAAAGCAGGTTCTTTGATATGGGATACTGGATTGCAAGCTATGGCTTAACCCACTGTGCCATGTTGCCTACCCCCTTTGACAATTTTAAAATTTTAACAAAATTTCAAAGCGTCCTTGGCTTTGAGAAAAGTCAACACTAAAACTCTGATTCATTTGTTGAGAGATTTATGTGAGAGCTTTGGAAAATACCTGTCTAAATGCCTCATAGACATCAAATAAATGATATCTAAAATAAAAGTTTGCCATCACATTTATTAGGAAGGCTGAAAGAATATTTATTGCTGTTATAATGTTTATAGATTCATTTATTAATGCTTATGCAAATAATAAAATAATTTTGTGCAGTCCCTCTTTTTAAAATATTTTGATATTGCACATATTCATGGGATACAATGTGATAATGTGATACATATATACAATGTCTGATGATTGAATCCTATTAATTGGCATTTTCATTTCCTTAAACACTTATTTTTTTGTGTTTGGAGCCTATTGATTCCCCTCTTCCAGTTCTTTATAAAGTATATAATGAATTTTGTAGATTATAATCATGTGATCAATCTATAGAATGCTAGAACTTACTCCTCTTTTCTAACTGTGTGTTGGTGCACATTATCAAAGTTCTCTCTAACGCTCACTCTCACTCTTCTTGGCCTCTAAGTAATGACTATTCAAATAATAAAGTAATTTTATACCATAAGTAATTTTGGACTAATCAATATTCCCATTATTTAGTGATTATAGTTTATGCTTAATGTTATTGTTACAAGTTAAAGCAGAGGATATCACCCTAAACTGCTTATTAATTGTACATTTTTTCTCTCAGTTATCATCAGTACCTAGATTGTTGATTTTTAGCTTTTGCCATTATTATTTTTATGATCATTGAAAATTTCAATAATATGAAGCCCATTCCACCCATCTCTATGTCTAAATGTGTTGTTATAAGCAGCTATTTGTTTTTAAATTTATTTATTTATTTGAAAGAGTTATAGAGAGGAAGAGGCAGAGAGAGAGAAAGAGAGAGAGAGAGAAGTATTCAATCTGCTGGTTCACTCCCCAAATGGCTGCAACAGCTGGAGCAGGGCTGACCTGAAGCCAGAAGGCAGGAGCTTCTTCCGGGTCTCCCACATGGGAGCAGGGGCCCAAGGACTTGGGCCATCTTGTACTACTTTCCCAGGTCATAGCACAGAGCTGGATCAGAAAAGGAGCAGCCAAGACTTGAACCAGCACCCATATGGATTTCCAGCACTGCAGGCAGTGGCTTAACTCACTATGCCATAGCGCTGGCCCCCAAGCAGTTATTTGTATCTCAGTTCTCCATCTTTGGCCATAGTTAAAGTGAAACTAATTTTTTTTTCTAGTTCTGTCCATTTATGAGGTATTGTGAATCTTCCTAGCAGCTATAAAGAGACTCATGTGCATTCTTTGAGCATAAGAACATATGAACAAAATTATTATCCATAAAATATATACAATATATTTTTATATCAGTGCAGTGAACAATTTTCAAAAATATTGTTTCATAATCCCAAAGGGAGAAAAAAAACATATAAAGCAAATCTCCATGTCTTAGATGAGAAAATGTGCTTGAAGGTAACTAATTAACAATTTCGAACAGGGCCAGAGATGGGACCATATTCTAAGCCTTCTAACATATTACCATTTTCCCATTAAAATATTTCTCTCTTCAAATCATAATAATATTGATAATAACTGATTTTTATCAGACACTTAGTATTAACAGACAATATAATTTACTCCAGCAATAACTCAAGAAGTAACATGAGGAGTCTCCAAAGAGTTCACGGAAAATGTTTATTATGGAAAGGTTTCAATTTTTTTTGCACCAAAATAATCTTTTCATTTCATTTTCTATAAACTTTGCACATTTCTGGGTGGATAAAACACATAGTCTATAAATCCGTTTAGAATTAATGCAGAGAAGTGAATAGGACAATAATATGTTTGGTTCTACTAGATTATATTCATTTGACCCCTTTTTCTCAACCCTTCTGCATCAGGTCTTGACTCACTTTGTGCTCCATTCCTGTATCTAAATTTCAATAATGAGGGTAAGTCTGTTTTATTTGAATAATCATTGTACATGTTACCCTAAAATGTTGGATTCAAACAAAATTTTTTGTTATCATTTTAAGGTTGTTGCTCTCGCCTTGTTGATACTGTATAAATTTTTGTAAAATAATCTGTTTGACATATTTTAGAAGATGTGAAGGATATTCTTTTTTTTCATTGGAGAATTTCAAATGTGATCAGGCTTTGACTAGATAATTAGTGGGGTCTGGACTGAGTTTCCCAAATGCATTTATCTACTATGGTGACCATTTTACTTCTCTAGAGGTTAATTTTAGTCTAAGTATACATTTTTCTTTTGAATTTATTTCTTCATCTGAAAGGCAGAGTTACAGGAAGAGAGGGAGAGATAGAGACAGAGGCAGAGAGAGAAAGAGAGAGAGAGAGAGAGGTCTTGCATCTAATGGTTTACTCCCCTAAATGGCACAGACTGGGCCAAGCCAAAACCAGGAGCCTGTAACTCCACCCTGATCTCACATGTGGATGGCAAGGGCCCAAGCACCTGGACACTTTTTTGCTGCTTTCCCAGGCATATTAGCAAGGAGCTGAAATAGATGTAGATGAGGGAGCTGGATTGGATGTGGAGCAACCAGTACTGGAACAAGAGCTCTGAAATGGGTTGTTGGCATCAGAGACAGTTTAGCCCACTGTGCCACAATGCCTGCCCCTCTTTACTTTCTAAAGAAGTTGTAGAGAACTCAGTGTTGGCTGTGTTTCCCTCTAACTTTATATCCCTAAAGTCTACTTTCTCTATAATGAAAAGTTTTTCATTCTTTTCCCTGAACTTACACTGAAATTTGTATTTCAGGAAATTTATCTTATTTCTATCATGCATTCTAGTTATTCATATAGTAATGTTTTAATCCCTTTTTCTGATAGCATTTTTTAAAAAAAATGATAGATTATTTTCTGTCCCATTTCTAATACTTTTTTTTATACTAGGCTTTTCAGTATTTGTTAAAATCAATGGACCCCAGCTTTCTGCTGTGGCCCGGGAGTGCAGTGGAGGGTGGCCCAAGTGCTTGGGCCCTGCACCCACATGGGAGACCAGGAGAAGCACCTGGCTTCTGGCTTCGTATCAGCGCAGTGCGCTGGCCGCAGCAGCCATTGAGGGGTGAACCAACGGAAAAAAGGAAGACCTTTCTCTCTGTCTCTCTCTTTCACTTTCCACTCTGCCTGTCAAAAAAGTTAAATAAATAAATAAAATAAAATAAAATCGATGGACCCAAATCCCAAATTCCTGATTATATCACATGTAGAGAGATGTGTTACTATATACAAGCATGAATGTCTAGATACCTAACCTCAACATCTTTATCTTTTCTTTACTTTTTTTTAAAAGATGTATTTATTTATTTGAAAGTCAGAGTTACACAGAGAGAGAGGAGAGGCAGAGAGAGAGAGCGAGAGGTCTTCCATTTGATGGTTCACTCCCAAACTGGCCGCAACGACCGGAACTGCGTCGATCCGAAATCAGGAGCCAGGAGCTGCTTCTGGGTCTCCCATGCAAGTGCAGAGGCCCAAGGACTTGGGCCATCTTCCAAGGCTTTCCCAGGCCACAGCAGAGAACTGGATTGGAAGTGGAGCAGCCAGGACTAGAACCGTTGCCCATATGGGATGCTGGCACTGCAGGCTGCAGCTTTACCCACCACGCCACAGCGCCAGCACCCCCCCCCCCTTTTTTTAAAGATGTATTTATTTATTTGAAAGCCAGAGTTACAGAGAGAGAGAGAGAGAGGTAGAGTTTATCTTTTCAGATGCTATATCAAGTCACAATTTGTATAGCTTTCTGAAATTGAGTTGAGATAGCATGATCTCAAATAAATGAAATCTCTCTATTTGGTTTTAAAAAATGAAGTATTCTCTGATGTCCTCGTATGATAGTCTAGACAAGTTTTTGCTTTGCTGTTAGGCATAAGCAATCATCACCACTTTTTTTAATATAAGATTTATTTTATTTATTTGAAAGAGTTACAGAGAAGTAGAGACAGAGAGAGGAGAGGTATTTCATCCACTGTTCACTCCCCAAATGGGCACATCAGCCAGAGCTGAGCCTATCCTAAGCCAGGCCCCCCACATGGATGCAGGGGCCCAAGGACTTGGGCGATCTTTGATGTTTTCCTATGCACATTAGCAGGGAGGAAGTGGTGCAGCTGGGACTTGAACCAGTGTCCATATGGTATGCTGGCGTTGCAGACTGGGATTTAATCTGCTGTGCCACAACACCAACCCTTCATCACTACTCTTTTTTTTTTTTTTTTTTTACAAGTAGAGTTATAGAGAGACAGAGAGAAAGATCTTCCTTCCGTTGGTTCACTCCCCAAATGGCCGCTACAGCTGGCGCTGCGCTGATCTGAAGCCAGGAGCCAGGTGCTTCCTCCTGGTCTCCCATACGGGTGCAGGCGCCCAAGCACTTGGGCCATCCTCCACTGTCCTCCCGAGCCACAGCAGAGAGCTGGACTGGAAGAGGAGCAACTGGGACTAGAACCCAGCGCCCATATGGGATGCCGGCACTGCAGGTGGAGGATTAACCTAGTGAGCGATGGCGCCAGCCCCCCATTACTACTCTTGATCCAAGAATAATAATGGATCTGTGTTTGAAAAACAGGTTATAACAAGTAGTTTGAAATCCAAAGTTTTCCAACCTTTGTTTATATGAGCAGTAATTAAGGATTGCAAGGTTTTTATAGCTCGTTTGGTATAGTGATCATGTTCAGAAATTTTAAAAATATACAAAGTTCAGGTAATGAAGGTTTTATTGCAGGATAATGATTGCCACAGTAATATGAAATTGAAGTACTAGGATCATTGTCTTTTAAAAATACATACTTTATTTTAAATCAACACATATTAACTGTACATATTTATGAGCTACAGTGGGTCATTTCCATGCATGCATATGAGCTTTAATGATCAGACCAGGTTAATTGGCATGTCCATCACTTCAAGAGGTTATCACTTCTTTGTTGGAAGTTTTCAAAGAGGATCATTATCTCTTTTATCTTTTGTTGTTCAAGGTATTTTCTCTTTGAAGGCACCAAGGGCCTTTCTCCACTAGTTTTGTATTTTTATAACTTATTACCATCACTTTAATTCACAAGTAACCTTCAGGAATGTATGCAAAGTTAGAGAATGATGCTGGTTAGTCACCTTGTTAACTAATTCTTTATGATTTTGCCTTCCTCTTTCTTAGCCTTGGCTTATGCATGTATGTCTGCTTTTATTCCCAAATACCTGTATAACTTCTTCTTGAAAGACAACTCTCATGTAATCCAAGGTAAGCAAATGTCTTTCCTTGTCTTTTTACATAGACAGGAATTATGTCAAAAGTAATCAATAGTCAATTAAATTGATGATTTTTAACCCAATAAAATATATTAATGGCCCATCACTAAAATCCATGAAGAGTGATCAGAAAGTTTAGTCTTAAGTCCACAAAGAATTATAGTAGTTTTCTAATTATCCAATAGCTGATCTCAACTCTTTGTGAATGCATTTTTGCTAGTTTAAAAAAAATAGGAAACTGCTATTTGTCTCTGTCACAAGTGCACACAGAATGCTTTACCCTGGAGGAAGCCTATTGTGAGTTGGTCAAAAGTTTAAACATTGTTTACTTGTATAATTAGACTATTAAAAACCCTCTCTTTCATTTCATTCCCTATGTTGAACATCCAAGAAACATACCTCCTCCTCAGGGTCCTGGTCATAGTGTGACCCATTTGAGCATTCAAGGTGACTTCTGCCATATTCAAACTTCTAATATAATTTTCTGAATTACTTCTTTGAAGTAGTAGGCTTCTGAATCAAACACTGCAAATTTGTTTTATTATTTATTTTGTAATCTTGGGCAACTATGTTCTCTGATATCATTTTCCTTTTATCTAAAATAAAATGCTATTAAGGTTAAAACATAAAATTCTAAATGCCAGGCAATGGAAATATTCAATAAATGTTACTATTTATTTATTAATGCTGTTACTATTAATACTATGTTTTTTGCTGATATGATTTTTGTGGCATTATTTTTTGCATTTTCTCTTTTCAGCAAAATTCTTGATGTTTTAAGGTCAGGGAATTTTCTTGTAATTTTGTATGTTTTTAGAACAGAGTACAAAGCTTTTCATAAAGTCTTTCATTGACCATTTTATGACAGCTATCATTTAGAATTTAGATTTAGAATTTTTTTATTCTTCTAATTGTGAAATAACTTGAAGCTGATGCTGTGTTTTATTTATATTTATATATTAGGGTTTGATATAGTTTGTTCAAATTGAATAGTTAAGGAAAAACAGAGGTGATATGTTATACTCAAAAATTCTAAGTGAAATTTCAACTACTAACCAACGTAATAGAATGTATCTAAGAAAGCCTTTAGACCCACTTTTAAGAAGTGTATTGTGTAAAGGAGGAAGAAGAGATCTTTAACACGTTTTTACAGGACATTCTTTTATAAATACTCTGAAGTTGGATGGCTGTACTAAATTAAGCTACAATCTAAAAGTAAATCCTTCCTATACTCCTCCCTAACAATAAAAAGTTAAAGCAAGAAGCTGTGCTTTCTAAAAACATTTTCAAACGAACCCCAACTTTATGCAAGACCACACTGCAGCAAAGTGCAGGTAATTGGGCATATCTATTTCAAATTATTAGAAAGGAAACAGAAAGGGAAATGTAAATTAAAAACACACAAAGGCTAAAAGTATGACATGAAAACAGCATGGATAATTTACCCAGGATAAAAAAAAAATTATTACTTTCAGCTTGATGCATTGGAGTATTAAGAAAAAGAATTAAACCTTTTAAAATTGTGTTTATACCTTTCTCTCTGTCTCTCTCACTGTCTAACTCTGTCAAATAAAAATAAATAAATAAATAATTGTGTTTACAAATAACTTAAATTATGTCCATTCATATGTCTTTGTCTACGATGTAAATAAGTGCTAGAAATCGAAATAATGTTTCAGTGTATCTTAACAATTATGTGATGCTTGTTTCTTTAAGTATTATTAATTTTCATAGTTATAGTTTCTAAAGTTCATGACTGAAATCTTAAATTGGTGAATAATTTTGAAACTTTTTTAATCCACAATAAATATTCTTTAGTATTATACTTTTTAAATTGATTTTTTATTTATTTTTTTAAGATTTATTTATTTATTTGAAAGACAGAAAGTTACACCGAGTGAGGAGAGGCAAAGAGAGAGAGAGAGAGGTCTTCCATCTACTGCTTTATTCTCCAATTGACCACAATGGCCGGAGCTGCACCAATCCGAAGCCAGGAGCCAGGAGCTTCCTCCAGTCTCCCACGTGGGTGCAGGGGCCCAAGGACTTGGGCCATCCTCCACTGTTTTCCCAGGCCACAGCAGAGAACTGGACTGGAAGTAGAATAGCCAGGACTCGAACTGGTGCCCATATGAGATGCTGGCACCGCAGGTGGTAGCTTTACCCGCTATGCCATAGCACCAGCCCCTAGTATCATACTTTAAAAAGTTAAATGTATATTTTCCTAAGAATCCACAGATTTGGTGTTTTAATTCATTTATTCAATTTTTATTTTGATCATATATGTTATATAAGAAAAAATGTTGGGGCTGCCTTTGCAAGGTGCAGCAGATTAAGCTGCCACTCAATGATAGAGTGCTGGTCCAAATCTTCTAAGCTTCCAATCCAGCTCCCTGCTAATGCACCTGGGAAAGCAGCAGATGATGGCCTAAGATCAGGGCCCCTGCCACCCATGTGGGAGACCTGGATGGAGTTCTTGGCTCCTGCTTTTGCCTGGTCCAGCTCCAGCTGTTGTGGCCATCTCAGAAGTAAACTAGTGGATAGAAAACTCATATTTCTCCTCTCTCTCTCTCTCCCCCTCCCCTTATATCCTTATATCACTCTCTCTTTCCATCTGTCTCTACCCTCTTCCTCTTCCTCTGTCACTCTGCCTTTCAAATAAATAAATAAATTTTTAAAAGTTTCAATTCAGTCATTCAATAAGTAATCTCATTACCACTGTATCAAGTACTGCTTTCATGAATTGAGGTTCTAAGATAAAGAATATTCATTTTCCAAGGGATCTCCGAGCAGGATATAGGAGATACATGTGAAAGTAACTAATTATAAGCTACTGATACTAGTATATATACTAATGTAATAGCACAGAACAAGAAGTGGAGGGGTTGGTTTGGATTGGTTTGGTGGCAAACAGAAAAGACAACATGTCTGGAAAGATTTCATAAAAGAGATACTTGAAATTTGAAGTTTGAAAAGGAATTTTCTTGGTGTAAGGGAGAAAGACATTCTTAGGATACAGAACTAGGAAGAGGACTGTGGTTAAAAAGAAAAAAGGTACACTGAGTAGCCAGTAGTGAAATCTGGAACAAGTGGTGAAAGTAGAGGGATGGAAAGCTAACAAACTGAAACAGCACAATGGTTATTGTTGTGTTGAAGATCAATTGTTTCTATTTCTTCAAAATATTTATTTTGAAGCTTGGAATTAGAAATATTCAGCTCTCATTTTACTGCTTTCCTTCTTTGTTGTTGCCTTCTTCCTCTTTGTTTTATTATGTTTGGTTTTTTTTTGTTTGTTTGTTTGTTTTTTGACAGGCAGAGTGGACAGTGAGAGAGACAGAGAGAAAGGTCTTCCTTTGCCATTGGTTCACCCTCCAATGGCCGCCGTGGCCTGCGCGCTGCGGTCGGCGCACCGCGCTGATCCGATGGCAGGAGCCAGGTACTTATCCTGGTCTCCCATGGGGTGCAGGGCCCAAGCACTTGGGCCATCCTCCACTGCACTCCCTGGCCACAGCAGAGAGCTGGCCTGGAAAGGGGGCAACCGGGACAGAATCCGGCGCCCCGACCAGGACTAGAACCCGGTGTGCCGGCGCCGCAAGGCAGAGGATTAGCCTAATGAGCCACGGCGCCGGCTTGTTTTATTATGTTTTAAGCTTTACACTTCAAGGTAACGTTGTGTTTTTTAATAGTTAACAACTATATATTAACATATAGTTGAATGCATCTTGTTGATGTTACATATATGTGGCTTCTGGGTAATTAGAGACTATAAACATACTATCACTAATTGAAAAGAGATAAAAGAGTTAAAGAAAAAAACCCAAAAGTTCCCCAGGCCTTCAGGTATGTCCTGGGTATTCACTTCAGTTTATTACTTGTAAAGCAGTTATAAATTCTTCCTGAGGCTGGGGCTGTGGCATAGCGAGTAAAGCCGCCACCTGCGGTGCTGGCATCCCTTATGGCTGCTGGCATCCCATATGGATGCTGGTTCCAGTCTTGGCTGCTCCACTTCCAATTCAGCTTTGTGCTATGACCTAGGAAAGTAGTAGAAAATGGCCAAAGTCCTTGGGCCCCTGCACCCACATGGGGGACCTGGAAGAAGTTCCTGGCTCCTGGCTTTGGATCTACACAGCTCCAGCTGTTGTTGTTTTTAAATTTTTATTAATTTTTTTAGAGGCAGAGACACAGCAGAGAGAATTCTTATCCACTGGTTCATTCTCTCAATGCCCACAAGTGCTGGAGTAGGACAAGGCTGAAGCCAGGAGCCAAGAATTCAGTGCAGGTCTTCTAAATGGGTGGCAGGAACCCAACTTCTTGAGATATTACCTGCTGCTTTCAGGCACATTAGCAGGAAACTGGAATTAGGGAGGGAACCAGAACTTGAATCTAGATATTCCAATATTGGGTGCCCCAACCAGTGTATTAATCACTATATCAAATGCCCACCCCATTAATTTTGTGTTTTTTAATGAGTAAAAATAGTTACTTGGCCTTGAGTAGATTCTTTTTTTTTTTTTTTTTTGGACAGGCAAAGTGGACAGTGAGAGAGAGAGACAGAGAGAAAGGTCTTCCTTTGCCGTTGGTTCACCCTCGAATGGCCGCTGCGGCCGGCGCGCTGCGGCCAGCACACCGCGGCCGGCGCACCACGCTGATCCGATGGCAGGAACCAGGAGCCAGGTGCTTTTCCTGGTCTCCCATGGGGTGCAGGGCCCAAGCACTTGGGCCATCCTCCACTGCACTCCCTGGCCACAGCAGAAGGCTGGCCTGGAAGAGGAGCAACCGGGACAGAATCCGGCGCCCCGACCGGGACTAGAACCCGGTGTGCCGGCGCCGCTAGGCGGAGGATTAGCCTAGTGAGCCGCGGCGCCGGCCGAGTAGATTCTTAATACGATTTTGTTTAGATTAGTGCATAATTACTAATTAGGCAAAAATAGTAGCTTGATGAAATAATGGGAAAAAATGAGAACATATTCCTCATATTTCAGGTGAATTCTATGAAAGAAAACAGGATTAAAATCAACAAGACATTTTAATTGCCCATTGCATGCCTCCTTTCTGATTAGCATGATGTTAATTCTTCTAACTATTCCAAATGAAGATACCTAGATGGAAATAAATTAGAACTAGAACAGATGCCTATAGCCCATATATAAAAAACAAATATATATAAACAAATAAAATTATTTGAGACATAATTTTTCTATTTGTGAATCCATATAAATGTTGTTCTTTATTTAAGGGCCTGTTACACTTTCTGAACATTCAATAAATTTAGAACAGATTTAATATTATACTAGAGAAAACATTTTTCATATTTAATAGGAGGATGGTGTTCACCATGTGTATAATTTGTGACTCAAGAAATAAATTGGTAGCCCTAAAGGCAGAAAATGAATTATGGCATAGCTGTTTTTAAAAAATATATTTAATAATTCTCAGTGATTAGTAACAAAGTAGAAAATTATTCATTAAAATATCTTTTTATACAAAAATTAAATCTCATTCAGAATGTAAATTAAATTATAATTTATTTGAATTTAATGACTTTGTAAAAATGATGATTATCTTAAACCCTATTGTCATTTCAGAGTATTTGACTGTGTTTTCTCAGATGATTGCATTCCATGATCCAGAGCTAAGTAATCATCTCAATGAGATTGGCTTCATTCCTGATGTAAGTATACCTTAATAGAACATGAAATTAAAAAGTAAAGCAGAAATTGGCCTCACAAAAGAGTGTATTTTTAAAAGCTTTTTCAAAAGATATCTGTATCTGAATAAGTTACTGCTAGTAATTACAACCTTCTCCTATAAAGTTTGTATGGTTACCTTCCATAGCCTCAAAAACAATGGGAAAATATTTTTATTTTCTTAGCATGGTTGATACTGCCAAGTCATATTAAAAAAAAAAAAAAACCAGAAGTAAGAGTTTTATATTAACCTGTGCTGTCAAGGGTTTTCATTTGGAATCTTTGATGGGCCTGATTTTGAAGAAATAGGAAATTTACACATAAGTCAAAGTTGCTTCATTTTGCGTAACACATTACTTTGGAAGCTTTGCCAAATTTAGGCTTATTTCATTAGTTTCTCTGATGTCCGTATCAGGATAAAAGTCAGAGTTTCCTCTCAAAAATTAGCAGGGACATGGCTTAGTCTTTTCAAGATAAAAGTCAGAGTTTCTCCTCAACGATTAGCAAGGACAAGGCTTAGTCTGTTACTCTGTTACTCGTTTGTGGTTTGTGAAGCATTAGATTGTATCCCATAAATACATGTGATTATATTTTATCAATTAAAAATAACAAAGTGAAAAAATAATAACAGGTTTCATATATAGGGAGGGAATTGGAATTGATAGAAATGTTAATGAGGGACCAGTGCTGTGGCATAGCAGGTGAAGCTGCCGCCTGTGGAGCCGACATCTCATTTGGACGCCAGTTCAAGTCCCAGCTGCTCCATTTCTGATCCAGCTCCCTGTTATGGCCTGGGACAGCAGTAAGAGATGGCCCAAGTCCTTGGGCCCCTACACCCTTGTGGGAGACCCGGAGGAGGCTCCTGGCTCCTGGCTTTGGATCAGTGCTTCTCCGGGCATTGCGGCCATTGGGGAGTGAATCATCAGATGGAAGACCTCTCTCTCTGCCTCTCCTCTCTCTATGTAATTCTGACTTTCAAATAAATAGATAAATCTTTAAAAAAAATAATAGACAAAGTAATGGAAACTTTTTACTTGTTATATTTTGAATTATTTAGCCCAATAAATGTATTACCCATTCAGTAGTTAAATTGAAGAGATAATATTAGCCCTCAAGCAATTATATTCTTTAGGAAGGTCTTTATTCAGAAATTATTGATTTAAGGATAAAAATTTTATGTTATATATAGTTAAAGTAGGAAAAGAAATTTATGAAACAGTATTATGATATTATCTTATTTTATTTTATAAGATTTATTTATTTAAAAGATTACAGAGAAAGAGAGAGACATAGAGAAAGAGAGATCTTTGATTCAATGGTTCACTTCACAAATGGCCACAATGGCCAGTGGGTCAGACCAAAGGAGGTTGCTTCCATCAGGTCTCCCACGTGGGTGCAGGGGTCCAAGTACTTGGCCATCCTCCACTGCCTTCCCAGGCAAATTAGCAGGATGCTGGATCAGAAGTGGAGCTGCCAGTACACTAAGTGGCACCCGCATGGAATGCCAGCATTGCAGGTGGCAGCTTTACCTACCATGTCACAATGCCAGTCCTGATCTTACTTCATTTTCATAAAATGAAGTGTGTATGTATGTAATTATGGAAAAAGTTGAAAGGATGTACTCCAGAATATTAATCATGATTATCTTGGGTTGAAGGCATTGTGAGTGGATTCGTGTACAGGGTAGGGTGGGGGTGGGGGGCAGTACTTAAGTACAGTTTTCCCATTTTTATCATTGAACATGTTACTATTTTTATGATATGAAGTTTTTAAAACCATACTTTATAACAATGTTCAGTAGAAAGCAGTGTTTTAAAAGTTTTTTTGCAATGCATAAGCATAAATTGCATAATAATGTTCAATGAAACACTATAGAGCAGTGTATTTAAAACTTTTCTTGCAGTGCAAAGGGAAAAATTGCATATTATATTGACACCCAGGACAAACAGAATTACAAGTACTGACATGTATATCTGTGTACAACTGAAACAAATTATATAAAACAGATTTTTAAAATTATTTATTTGTTTGAAAGGGACAGAGACAGAAGAGAGAGAGTGTGTATTTGTGCAAAAGACATACATAGAGGTAAAGATTTCCCATCTACTGGTTCACTCCCAAATACCCCAAATACCCATTAAAAGTGGTGCTGGGCCAGGTCAAAACCAGGAGATAAGCACTCAACCAGGGACTCAGTGAGGGTCTCCTGTGTGGGTGGCAGGGACCCAAGTACTTGAGCCATCACCTGCTGCCTCCCAGGATGCATATTAACAGGAACGTGGGATTGGGAATGTGGCTGGAATGCGAATCCAGACACTCCCAGAATGGGTTGCAGACATCCTAAGTAATGTCTTAATTGCTATGCAAAGGCCTGCCCCAAAACAACTATGATTTCTACATGTTACATTCCATCGTGTATGTTTAAATGTCTATATCCCATAAGTTGATTATTTTAAATGTTAATTTGAAAAATGCTTAGATAAATGATTCTAAAAAACCAATAAGAACTTATTTTTAAAACTTAAAAAAATGCTCTTGGAATACATTATCATAGGTTTTTGTATAACAAAAAACAAGCAAAAAGTACTTTTTGGGATAGAGAACTGCTTATTCCGTCTTAAACTTCTTCATTTCCTAATCATATGTTTCCTGTGAAAGACTTATAGCAGATACTGTTATATTAATGCATTTTAAAATGTTCACAATAATATGCATAGTGTAAATAATTGCAGAGTTCTTTAAAGTTTAAAAATAATTTTCTTAGGCATTATTTCATTTGATTATTAAATCTGTAAGGTGTTTGCATGAGATGTGTGCAGCATTTATTTTTGTTTTTTTTTTGTTTTTGTTTTTGTTTTTTTTTTTTTTTTTGACAGGCAGAGTGGACAGTGAGAGAGAGAGACAGAGGGAAAGGTCTTCCTTTGCCATTGGTTCACCCTCCAATGGCCGCTGTGGCTGGCATGCTGCGGCCGGCGCACCACACTGATCCGAAGGCAGGAGCCAGATACTTATCCTGGTCTCCCATGGGCTGCAGGGCCCAAGCACTTGGGCCATCCTCCACTGCACTGCCGGGCCACAGCAGAGAGCTGGCCTGGAAGAGGGGCAACCAGGACAGAATCCAGCGCCCCGACCGGGACTAGAACCCGGTGTGCTGGCGCCTCTAGGTGGAGGATTAGCCTAGTGAGCCGCGGCACCGGCCACAGCATTTATTGTTAAAAGTGTAGTATTTGGTATGATAACAAAGCTAACAAGTCATAGAACTAAAATTTCACTTAACATCATTTGGAATCAACTGTTTGTCTCCCATGTAGTACATTTTGCATTAGGGAAGAGAGACTCAAACATAGCTCTACTTTCTCCTAGAAGTATTTCATAGCGCTTTGTATTGCATACAATTTTCTGAGATGTAATCATCAGTCGTAAAGTCATCCTCCCTAACATTTTCAGTGCCATTCACTTCTAGGCCTATGGAGAAACACCTTTCATTTAAGTACATGTTTCATTCAGTGAGGTCTCTAAAAAGAACATGTACTGGATCCAAAACAAATAGACAATAACAACAAAAACCCTATGATTATTAAAAATAAACCTTGTTAAAAATTACCTAGTATACTTGTTATTATATTAAGTATTCAATTTTATGTGTCCCAACATGTGAGTACAGTGTAATACAATACTAGATTAAATTATATGGCTAAAGCTGAGAAATTTACTAAGGAATTGATTGTGAAATTGGTAATAATGTTAGATTTTTGAGGCATAAAAACATTAATAACTAAGATACAGGCTAATAAAACATGTAATTACTTTTTTAAAATTTCCTTGAAAATACATAGTTAAGATGTACTCAAAACTGAACACAAAGCTACATTGATTGGTTCAGTGTTCTAGATTGAAAACATTTATGTGGATAACTGTGTATGGAATTACACAGTCTGATAAAGATTCTTAGTTATATTCATGAACACAAATGGCATAAAGAAAGGAAGCACAGGGGCCAGCATTGTGGCACAGTGGGTTAATCAGCCACCTGGGACATCAGCATCCCATATGGGCACTGGTTTGTGTCCCAGGTGCTTCACTTCTGATCCGGCTCCTTGCTGATGGCCTGGGAAAAGCAGCAGAAGATGGGCCATTTGTTTGGGCCCCTGCTACCCATTTGGGAGACCTGAATGAAGCTTCTCACTCCTGGCCTCAGCCTGGTCCAACCCTAGCCATTTTGCCATCTGGGGAGTAACCTAGCAGATAAAAGATCGGTCTTTCCCTCCATCTGTAACTCGGACTCTCAAATAAATAAATAAAAATAAAGGAGGTATAGAAGAGAAAATCATCTGTCTTAGCTTTCATTACAATATTAGATTCTTAATGAGCATTAAGTAAGAAGCAGGAATGAGCAGAAAACATTGTTAGCACACAGTAATGTGAATATATACTAAGTGCTTACCACGTACTAAGCACTGTTCCATCCATTTTAAATATAATCAAGCATCCAATTCTACAAGTTTGTAGATCTAAGTAAGCAAATATTAACTATTTACACTTTTATATAAAGCCAATTTGAGAAAGGCTGATAGAAGTTAGAAGTAAAATTTTAGATCACAATCATATGAAAGATAAGAGTAGGTTAGAGAAGCCAGCATTGTAGCACAGTAGGTTAAGCTATGCCTTGCCATGCCACTGGCATCCCTTATTGGAGTTCCAGTGCTATATTGGAGTCATTGCTACTCTGCTTTAGAGCCAACCCCCTAACTAAAATGCCTGGGAAAGCAAAAAATTATGGTCCAAGTATATGAGTCTTTGTCATCAGTATGTGAGACCCAGATGGAATTCCTGGCTTTGGCCTGGCCCAGACTTAGCTGTTGTGGCTATTTAGTTCAAGGACCAGTAGATAAAAGATCTCTGCCTCTCCCTGTCTCTCTTTGCCACTCTAACTTTCAAATAAATAAATAAATCTTACTGAAAAAAAAAAAAAAGAGTAGATGGA